GCGGGCCTAGAGAGCAGAACCAGAACCAGCATGTGGCCAGTTGTAAGGAGCAGATTTCTACCACAACCCAAGGTCCATCTCCTAATGGCTCTTGTGGTTCCAACACGGAATGACCAGCCATGCGAGGGCACGGAGCCCACAGTTCCGGAGAGGCGAGCAGAGCATGGAACACGCCAGCTGTCCCGCCTCAGAGTCTCAGCTCCGAGCTGTGCCCATCTCTCCTCTAAACGCCAGGAATCGGGACACAAGCCCTTTCTGGAACCCTAACCTGAACTGGTAGCTGTTCTCCTTCCTGCGCTCCGCTCTCTGCCTGGCTTTGAGACACACTGCTCTCTTCCCACCTCCCTGGCTCCTATAACGGTTATATCCTGCGGGCCTCAGGCTGCCCTGTGGAGTGTCCTGACTTACACCTAACCCCTGGGCCACCCACCAGTCCCTTCCTCCGCCCCAGCCTTGTGACAGCATCCAGACACACCTGCAAAGAATGCCACTCTCAGACCTGGAGCCCAGCCCCGTCCAGCCAAGTTATCGGAGGCAAGTTACTTAGCCTCCCAGAACCGCAGTTTACCTGTCTGCTTCATTCATAACAGCAAGAACTTTAAAAACCCATGTCCAACCACAGAGGGCATTAAATATTAAGGTATATATCCAGGAGGGAATAGTAAGGATGCAGTAGTAACATCGCAGAATATTTAGTGACACAGAAATGCTCATGAAATATTAAGAGAGAAATGATCATTGCAAAGCACTACTTAGTATAAACACATTTTTTGTAGAAAAGAATATCAATGCACAAAAAGACTTAAGACAACCATAAAGCTAAGAGTAATTATTTTCTAATTATACTTTCTTTATACTTCCCAAGTTGTCAATGGTGTTAATACTTTTTAACTAGAAATAAAGTTATTTTTACAATCTTTTCACACTCTTGTCTTGGCCTGTTCCTCCCCAAAGATTAAAAACAAGACAAAACTAATTGATATAGAAACTTAACAGAAGGACACAGTGATGCCCTGACAGGTGGCTCAGGCGGTTGAAGCATCATCCTGTACACCAAAAGGTTGCAGGTTCGATTCCCAGTCAGGGCACATACCTAGGTTACCGGTTCAACCCCCAGTTGGGGAGTGTACAGGAGGCTACTGAACGATGTTTTTCTCTCACATCAATGTTTCTCTCTCTCTCTCTCTCTCTCTCTCTCTCTCTCTCTCTCTAAAAGTCAATAAACATATCCTTGGGTGAGGACTGAAAATAAAAAAGGACACAGTGAGTCCATGGCATTAGCTACTTATTCTTACCTACAATAAACGTGCTATGTCTTGAACTTGGAGAAACGGGGCAGCTAAGGACACTGGGCTAAGGGAAGGTCACCCCTTGGACTGGTAGTATGAGTGAACTCCCAAAGGGTCCACTTGGACCCCCATCGAATGGCTTCCACTGCCACTGCCTGACTGTCTATTGTCAAGTCCTGTACATTTAAAACATGGTTTTAACTGTCCCTTTGACTGTCCCTCGAGGAAGACAGTGAGCGCCACGTGTCATCCACGGGTCACTGTGTCGCCGAGCTGTGAGGCTTGGCTCCACGTTGGGCTGGAGCAAAAAGCCTGCCAGCAGCGCCGCGGCCCCATTCACTGGGCTTTGTCCCCTGGTAATGAGCTCCCTTGGCTCCCTCCCCACGCTGGAAAGCAGCGACCTCAGAGCACAGCCAGCCAGAGAAGCCCCTTGAATGGCCCATCGAGGAATCTAGGCGTTTGGCAGTGGCTCGGCCGAAAGAGGCCAAAGCAAATTTGCAGTCATTTCAGTGGAAAATGTCAGCCTGACTCGAGATGGAATGTGTCACCTCCCCGTGGCTGCAGCCGGGTCAGTGACATGGCCACAGACACGCAGCGGGCCCCTATCTGTGACCCGCTCTGCGGGCGCCCCAGGGCAGGTCTTGTCAGCAGGGACGTGTGTGCTCGGCCTGAGCACGGCATGGCTTGGTCCCCTTCCGTGCTGACAGCCACAGGAAATGGCCAGCTCTGAGCAAGCTGTTTGACACGTGCAGTATCTCTATTCCTTTCCATCTCCAAGCCACACTCACGTCTTCAGCATCTGACCCGACGGCTGCTGGCAGGCCTCTCTCTCTTACCCAGCTTTTCAGGAGCCGAGGCCAGAGGCACACGGCTACTCACCCCAACGTGTGCACATTTACACCCACAGTCCCAGCGCCAGTTCCTTCAGCCTTTCCTCCTCTCTGCGGGGAGCTAAGAGGCCTTAATTCATATTGATTCCGTTCAGTGGGTTCCTCTAAACACTTCCCAAAGCAAATTTAGTGGCTTCCCATTACAGCCGATAAGTGCTAACATCTTCTCATGATCACTCACACTCTTTTATGACCTGGATAGTAAATGGATGGACCAGTTATGTCCCAGCATATGCTATGGCCTTAAATTGCTCCTGGAGAATCCGAACCACGCATGGAATAAAGGGCCACCCAGGGAGGCCAGGGGTGCGGGAGGCCGGCTCCCCGCTGTTCCCTGGAAACAAAGACCCGCGAACCCAGCAGGGAGACCCTCGGAGGGTCCGTCGCCATTGGTTTGGGAAGCTGGCCAGATGGACCAGAGCCACCAAGATGCCCATGCACCATGCAAACAGCAGATGCTCTCTGCCTGCTTAACTACCACAGAGGAAACGGGGTCCAAGCAGAAATCTGGCCAAAACATTCTTCATAACAAAGACTCACAGCAAATCCTACAGATAGAGGCTCAGAGGCCCCTCTGCCCACACTCCACCTCCCACACCCAAAACCAAATGCCTCCCCACCCGAAAGCTTTGCACACACCAACCAGGACCCATCCAATGCAGGGGGAAAATGCAGCCCCCCTTGTCATGGAAACTTCCAGAAGAGAGCGCTGAGCCCGCTGCCCTGCACAGGAAGCCCCGAGCAGACGTGATTGAGCACAGCCATGACTTGAGGAGGTATCTGGGGAGACATTTTTCTATTTGATTCTATCATTAGAGACAAGAACTCAGCTTTTCACTCTCCGTTTCCTTCTCTGCGCTCTGATTTATCTACTTGCTGTTGTCACTGCCAGAAAACATTTCTCCCTGAGTCCTAGGGTAGCATCCGTCAAGTCAGAGACCAACTGTCCTGCTGGGCCTCAGGAGACGAGGCTGTGGCCCATGTCCTCGTCTGCAACAGTCACATGGAGTGGCTTTCACTCAAGCTTTAAAAGTAACAAAATGCAGCCCTAGCCGGTTTGGCTCAGTGGATAAGAGTATCGGCCTGTGAACTGAAGGATCCGGGTTCAATTCCAGTCAAGGGCACATGCCCGGGTTGTGGGCTCAATCCCCAACAGGGGGCATGCAGGAGGCAGCCGATCAATGATTCTCTCTCATCATTGATGTTTCCCTCTCTCTCCCTCTCCCTTCCTCTCTGAAATCAATAAAAATATATTTTAAAAATAAAAGTAACAAAATGCACATGATTTCCTTGAACCCCTCTCCCCAGCTTCAGCCACAATCATGGAAGCCCCTAGCCACATGGGGAGAGGACCCGGCCATGTCTGGCCTGAGCAGTCTCCTCCTCTACTTCGCGTTCCATGGTTAGGTCCTGACCAAGCTCACAGGTACTACCTTCCTCACCTTGAGCCCACCCGCAGAGGACTAAAACATACGCTTGTAACATATTTGTTCACCAAAAGCAACTCCTGCAGAGCGGGGACCGAAAGGCCCAGAGGAAAATCGGGGTTCAGGAGTGTAACCCTCCCAGGCCCTCCCGGCTCAGAAAGCTTAGGTGGCTAGAAGCTTGGCAGATAGGAAGCCTGGTGTCAAATTCTGTTCAAATTCTATGGTAACCAACCCTCCATGTTATAACGAACTTCGTATCTCAAGGCGCACTGCTTTTGGGAGGCGCAAAGCTTCCGCCAGCAGAGGTAACTTTTTCAAAGCTTAGCACTCGGGGACGGGATGTGTCATACGGTCCAACAGCTTGTGGGAAGCAAAATTCTACTTGGCAAACAAGGGGTGGAGATGCTAGGCAGGCCAGCCCTCACCGTACAAATGACCTTGCAACACAACCCAGGGGCAGTGACACGACCAAGGAGCCCATGCCACCTTGCCAAGAGCAGACACACCCATTTCCTATAAGAGCAGATCGCCACTTAGATATTTCTTAACCCCAAATCTGGAAATGGCTTCCATCCTTCCAGGATAAAATATCAGAAACGCATACAGCACAAAGCAATTTTTAAAAACTCACATGCACCTTATTTCTTCCGAAATACCCAGTTTCAGCACATACCCCCATTACAGAAAAAAATTACCCCAAGTCACCAACTTTCAATGATACCAAATGCCAGCGAGTAGAGTCCAAGTGTACCCTGGGGCCAATGCCAGGTAGCCCCAAGTTCACAGGCACAAAGAAGAGCAGGTAAATAAACACAAAACTCCTGACCACGTCTCCCCTCTCGAGTCTCTTAATGCTCAAACTCCGCACAGTGGCATCATCTGGGGAGCTTTTTAAAAATGCATTATGGCCCTAGCCGGTTTGGCTCAGTGGATAGATCATCGGCCTGCAGACCAAAGGGTCCCGGGTTCGATTCCGGTCAAGGGCACGTGCCTCAGTGGCAGGCTCCTCCCTGGCTTGGGCCCTGGTCCGGGCTTGTGCAGGAGGCAACCAATCGATGTGTTTCCCTCACATCGATGTTTCTCTCTGTCTTTCCCTCTCTCTCCCACTCTCTATAAAAAAATAAAAAGAAAGAAAAGAGAAAAATATCCTCGGGTGAGATTTTTTTAAAAAAAGCATTATGCCCAGATGGCACCCCAACCCAACTACACCAGATTTCCTGGGGTGAACCTCAGACATTAGCTCTCAATATCCCTGTGTTTTGAAGCCAATTGTGAGAACCAGTGGCTCCGGCAAAATACAAAGTTCACGGCCCACCTTTCCTTCCTTTCTCAACACGCCCACGTTACTAACAGCATGAACCAGAGAACCGCGCCTGGAGCTGGCCGGCTCCTACCTATATAGAGCGAGGAGTCCTTCCTCCGCACGTGGTCGTCGATGTAGGAGACGCCCAGGGGCTGCACGGGGGTAGCACCGATGCCCAGGAGCACCTGGGCCCCAATCAGCAGCAGGTACATCATGTTGGTGGTGGTCCGGTTGCGGCAGATGAGGTCAGGATCGGGCCCCTGGTCGCTGGCTGTGCCATTGGCGGCGCACACGTCGCGAAAAAAAAGCCCTCGGCGCCCCAGCAGAGGATCTCGGCCTCGTACTTGTACTGGTGGGTCAGGAACTCGGGCAAGGCGGACAGCAGCGCGCCCAGGGCCATGACGATGCCCCCGCAGCCGATGAGGCGCGGCCGGTGCCCACGTGCCCCAAAGTAGCTGACGAAGAGGATGAGCGCCAGGTTGCCGATCTCGAAGCTGCTGGCGATCACACCCACGTCGGCGCTCTGCAGGTTGAACCTCCGCTCCAGGGTGGTCAGCACGCTCACCTGCAGGTGCCAAACAAAATCTCAGTGTCAATCCCGGTGGACACCACGGGGGAAGCCCTTTCTGGCCTCGTGGTAACCCTGCCCCTCTCGGCCCTCCCTGGAGGTTTGTACCAGATGCAAAAGACACCTGTGCAAGGTGATTTACTAGGAAACCCGAAGAGTCCAATAAACGTTTACTCAGTACGATAACACTAATCACACGGTTAGAGAAGTTTTTCTCACTGGCAGAGAAGTTTTTCTGGGCCCCTTTCCTTCCAGAAACGTCCTGCCTCTGCCCAGGAAGCACACCTTCCCCTACTCCGTCGCACTTCAGGGCCCTCGCATCCTGTGAAAGTCAGAAGTCACGGTGCCTTCACGCTCCCAACTCGAGCCTATTTATTTACAAAGCCCATCTGGGAGGACCCAAAGGAAATAAATAAAACGAAACAAAAACCTGGGCAAGCTAGCTGAGCTCCTTAGGATAAGCAGTAGCCCTCCGCTTTCTTCTAGAGATTTCCAAACGATGTAGATGTCCCTACAGGCCGCCAGGTAGTTCATTCCTGACTGTCCTATGCCCTATAGCCCCACGAAGGCCCCTCGGAAGGAATATTTTTATGCTTTCCCCCACCTCTGTATTCCTGTCCGCCTTCCATTGGTTTAACAAATATTTACTCTCTACTATTGGCCTGATAAGGCTCTAGTCACCACAGAGAGAAACCCAAGGAAGAGATGACACCTGGCGTGAACATGTCGCCTAGCATGGATCTAGCCTTCCTCCAAATGTATAAGCAGCCGCAAACTCCCCAAGTGCCCAGGCACATGTGCCCACACGCACACCCTGTGTACACCTGTGATGATCAGCACACATGTGTTCTATTTGCTTTCATTATAAAAAAGAACTGCACACATTCAGACAGGCTCCGCTGGCCCTGAGGTTCCCCGGGCACTAGAAGTTTCAGGTGGCTGGGCCCTCGCAGTTTCGGACCAATTGGTCTGGGAGACACCTGGGCCCTGGGATTCATTAAGGAGCCCCAGGGGATTCTGTGAGCTAACACAACACACATTCCTTGCCCAACCCTTCAGAGCTCTGGTCCTGAGAGCTCTGCAGAGCAGCGTTCTAACACTGACACAGCCCCCATCCATGACCAATGCCAGTACAGCTGAGTACCCTGTCACCTGCATTCCAAATCTGATGCCCGTTTCCATGGTGCTTTCTTTTTTTATATAATATATATTTTTATTGACTTCAGTGAGGAAGGGAGAGGAAAAGAGAGATAGAAACATCAATGATGAGAGAGCATCATGGATCGGCTGCCTCCTGCATGCTTCCCACTGGAGATCGAGTCTGCAACGCAGGCATGTGCCCTGACAGGGAATCGAACCATGACCTCCTGGTTCATAAGCCGAGGCCCAACCACTGCGCCACACCAACCGGGCTTCATTGTGCTTTCTAACCCAGTCAAGGCCAGCCCTAGGTGTGTGGCTAGATTATTATTTTTCAAACACCAAGTATTGGCAGTTGTCGAGAAAAGAAATGTAGCGAGTCCTGGTCTCATTAAAATAGCTTTCAAATGCTCCCCCAAAAATTCTGAAAGCGCTGGGGGTTAAGGGGTAAAAACAAAGGCTTCATTCATTCAGCCTGTTCCTTTGTAACACAAGCAAGCATGATGGCCTATGAGCTCTAACCAAGGCTTATAATCAGTAATGCAGTGATGGAGGGAACCCCATGGCCTGGGAGGTGGGGGCTTCGGGGTTCACCCAGGCCTTGGGGGTGAATCCAGAGATGCCCAAAAGAGGCCGGACGCAGAAACAAGCAGGGACCCCACCTAGGCAGGTCCCCTGGGTACACGAGAGTCACCTGGATCAGTCCGGTGGGTCTGCAGCCCGGTGACCTCCACCCTGAGAGTAGAGGACAGTGAGGGTGGCAGGAAGGGTGGGCAGGTGGGCCAGGCTAGAGCGGAAGCCCAATTTCATTCCTGCCAGGAGGCTTAACGACATACATACTTGGCAGCGCGTCTGCAAACACGGCATCCGCTCGGTTTGAGCAGGTGCGCCCTGTCATGAAATATCACACAGATATGGACATCGACGATGACAGATAAGGGTGGAGGGGTAGGGACAGCGGTGGGCGAAAGAGAAACAAGCAGCTCTTTAGAGAGACTGACGCCGGGGCCTGCAGCTCGGCCTGCCTCCCACCTGCTCTTGGCAGGGCGACCGCAGGGGTGACAGGAGGCAGTGGGGCCTTCACCTCCTTGCCTCAGCCTCGGGGACGCCCGTGTGGATCATGTTTTGTGGATCAATTAGATCAGAGGCTAATGTCCTCAGTCACTTAAAGCACGATTTTGAGAAGACGGGCTAAGTAAGCATGCAGGAGGCCACAGGCCTCCCTCGTGGCTTTTATGGGGCAGCGACAACCCATCAAGGAGGAGGTGGTGCTAAAGGGAACCACCATCTTACTTAATGGGAAACAGAAGTGAGGGAAAACAGCTTGATCACTGGAGACCAAGGAGAGGAAACTACGGGAGGAAAACAAAAGTGGAAGTGTCCTTGCCCTGTGCCAAGTGAGTATGAAGTCATTATTAAAAGAATGCTTATTTATCAGGTTTCTACTACCATTAAAAAGAAAAAAAGAAACGGGGGGGCGGGGGTTGTATCTCAAAATCTCCTAGAGCACATGATTAAAAAAATACAGATTCCCCACCCTGGCCGGTTTGGCTCAGTGGATAGAGCGTTCTACTACAACAATTAGAAAGAAAAAAAGAAATGGGGGGGAGGGTTGTATCTCAAAATCTCCTAGACACATGATTAAAAAAATACAGATTCCCCGCCCTGGCCGGTTTGGCTCAGTGGATAGAGCGTCAGCCTGCAGTCTGAAGGGCCCTGGGTTCGATTCAGGTCAAGGGCATGTATCTCGGTTGCAGGCTCCTCCCCGGCCCAGGCCCTGGTCAGGGCGCGTACAGGAGGCAACCAATCGATGTGTCTCTCTCACATCGATATTTCTCTCGGTCTTTCCCTCTTTTCCACTCTCCCTAAGAAATCAATGGGAAAACACCCTCGAGTGAGGATTCACAAAAATCCAGGTTCCCCAACCCTGAGATGAGGTCCAGGCGTCTGAGATTCTACAAAGCACCGGGGGTCTCTGATGCCCACTGGGGGCTGAGGACCACACCCCTGGCCCTGCAGGTCCACGCGTGTACTCACCGTCCCCCTAGAGCTGTGGTTCTCACCCTTCGGGGGCAGCAAAATCATCCGAGGCTCCCAGCCTGCAGGCTCCAGCCACAGAGTGCGGGCAGGGGCGGGGCTGGACCGGCTCTAAGACCGCGTGTTCTCACAAGCTCGCAGGTGATGCCCATGTGCTCATCAGGGGCCCTGATTTGAGAACTCTGCTCCCTTGAACTCCCTCTGCAACAAACCCAGCCCACGTGGGATTACAGAGCTTGGTGTTTCAATTAGATGCCCATGGACAGCACCCCCTCATTTCCAGTTCATAGCCACGCTCTCCTGAATGGGAAAGGCGGGCTGCACTGAGGATGCCTGAAGCACGGTCAGGCCAGCAGCAGAGATGGGGGCCAGCCCAAAAGGGAGACCGTCAGATCACGCTGTCACAAATGTCAGAGGGCAGGAGGCCCCAGAGGCCACGGCTCACCTTCCAAAGGGTCAGGGTTGTCCGGACGCAGTAAGAAGCCAATATCTTAGGAGCGGTACTGGAAGCTCATTGCTCCCATGAGCCCTCTCGCTTTCTTACTCAGCCTTGCTCAGCGGGGCCTGGACCTGAACTAGCATCACCTGGGAGCTATTGAAACACAGGACTCTAATGCAGTGGTTCTCAACCTTCTGGCCCTTTAAATACAGTTCCTCATGTTGTGACCCAACCATAAAATTATTTTCGTTGCTACTTCATAACTGTAATGTTGCTACTGTGATGAATCGTCATGTAAATATCTGATATGCAGGATGGCCTTAGGCGACCCCTGTGAAAGGGTCGTTCGACAGCCAAAGGGGTCGCGACCCACAGGTTGAGAACCGCTGCAAAATGTAACCTAGGAGAGCTGGGCCGGGCATGAATGCTTGCAAAGCTCCCGCACCCAGGCAGGTGGAGGTATGTGTGCGCAGACCGTGTGCATGGACGCTGCAGAGGGTGTACACGCATGGGTGTTTGCAACAGTGCAACCTGGTCCTATCAGTGTGGCATCAGGACAGAGGAGCCTCAAGTTCAAATCTGCCTCTGACAGATGGTGGGCACAGACGTGCATGCATGTGTTACAGTGCAACGACTTAAACTCTTATGATGTATCCACTTGCACGTTTTATTGCATTAGTTGAAGCCTTAATCTAAAATTATTTTTAAAAGGAGAAAAAATCTAGCTTTGACAGCAATTGGCCAAGTCAAGCGTTGTGAGCCTGTTTTCACATCTGTGGGGTGTGGGACAATGTCTGAGTGAGTGCTATGCGACCGCAGCTGGTACACAGTAGGTACACCGGTGCGCATGCTCTGGGTGACTTCCGGTTCCATCCCGAGCACAATGCCTGCTCCGTGGCGCACACCAGAAACCTAACTATGACTGGAGACCATGCCTGGCCTGGGGGAGTTTACAGTCTGAGGAGAACAGAAAGACCATCGCAGAACAGCACAGCCTCTAATCAGGGGCATATGACAGAGTGCAGAGGGCTCCAGGGAATCAAGCATCCTGCACACGGAGAACAAAAACATGTCCGAGATACAACGCGGATGAACTGAGTCGTAGCAGGTTTGCAGGGGGCACAGGGGCTGCCCCAACATTCCCAGAGGAAAGATCAGAGGCGTGAGGCGGCTTGGCGGGTGGGAGGAAAGTTCAGACAGCCCCTGGGGAGGGAAGGACTTTTTGACCCCAGAGCGCTGTGAGGATTCACCTGAGATGGAGAGGCCTTGAAGGCAGGCGGAGGGCCCGCCCTGGATTTGGAAGTCAATGGGGAGCCAAGGGAGGTTCCTGAGCGGGAGCCATCCATCAGCAGCGTTACGCTGGCATCGCTGCCAAGCAGGGAGTGAGCAGAAACTGCCCAGGCAGCTATTTCAACAGTGCTGCTGAGAAACGGCGCCTTGGCAGGGCAATGCTGGCAGGACGTCAGAGAAGGTGTCTGCGGGAGAGAGGCCCCTAATACAACACTTCTGCTCCGGGGGGCATGAGATGTGACAGAGCCCAGCAGGCTGCCCGGGACCTGGCGGAGCTGCAGCCTCACACCACATGCCCAGCAGCAGGGCCGTGTCAGGAAGGGGAGCAGGTGTGGGCCCAGTCAGGAGACGTCAGCCTCCGACACGACGGTAGTCACGCAGCCCAGCCGGTGTGACTCAGTGGTTGAGTGTCGACCAGGAGACGTCAGCCTCAGACACGACGGTAGTCACGCAGCCCAGCCGGTGTGGCTCAGTGGTTGAGTGTCGACCTATGAACCAGGAGGTCAGGGTTCGATTCCCAGGTTGTGGGCTCGATCCCCAGGAGGGGGCGTGCAGGAGGCAACCGAGCAATGATTCTCTCTCATCATTGATGTTTCTCTCTCTCTCCTTCTCCCTTCCTCTCTGAAATCGATAAAAATATATTTTTTTTAAAAAACTGCAGCCACACAGAGGACCCACGGGTCTGGAACAGAGGTGGGCTCATTTTTTCTGAAAGGGGCAGAGTTAATATTTTCAGCTTCCAGACCACATGGTCTCAGTAGGAGCTACTCCACACACCCCAGCACAAAGCAGCAATATACAGACAATGAACATAGCCAG